TAGCGGTCAATCAATGTGTGGCCCATCTTAGACGACTCTCCCTTACTTTTCGGGAAAATTATTTTTTGGACCATTTACAGAAAAATTACGTTGCATTATTCCGTTCATATAAATTGTCTAAAATACTATTGTGAATATTACGAACAGTTTATTGATCAATATTTTGAATATTTCGGAAAAATTTCGATATTATTGTTCGTCAAGCCTTTCGTTTAATTATGTTACTTATCATCAAGTTCGATCAAGACAATGTGAATTTAATAATTTAATACTCCGGTATAGTAGAGAAAACTGAAGATTCTTATACAAATACTAACCAACAACGTAAACATCCTAAAATGTGGAACGAAAAAATTATATCAAGTTTTTTTCTTATTCAGACGATTCATTATTTATAACAATTAAAACAGTTATATACCACAATTCCCGAGTTCTAGTACATTTTGTGTTGTGAATGGTGTAGATTTTTGAAATGAATGCCATCCAATTTATGATGGATGTTTCGTAGAAATGTGGAACTATTGTGATAACTAGGGTTATGATTATTAAATATTGCTTTACTTCAGATTTTTATTTGATCTCATTTTGCGCCAGTTCAGTAAATTTACATCTTGTGATAGTTTTTATAGAACTATTTGAAATTGTTCATGTTTCTATTACTTTCTGTGGAATATTTTTCGTGGGAAAAATGATTCATCAACAACAGATCAAAAGGTTCGTGTAAAGCAAATAAGATCTTAAATAACAATACACAAATCTACTTGATGGTTTAATATGTAAGTATATAATTCGTATTATTTCAATACTTCAATGAAACAGTATTGAGAACGGCTTTCAACCATTTTTGTAAATCGATGAAAATCGATTTGAAACAACACTCTAAATGACTAGGCAAGCAAACGAGTTAAATCATTTCTTTTATTTTTTAAATAGTATTGAAATAATACGAATTTACCCTCAACCAATCACCTTATGAAAACAATTAGTTCATACGAAATAGTTGTAAAAATCATAAGTATATAATGTCAAAAGTTATTACAAAAGTGATAGGAACCATGAATTTTTTTCTCCGAAAATTGGATTTACCGATGATCGATTTTATGCATATCGATGAAGGCAGTTTATTAAAAAATCGAACGAATGAAATCACATGAGACGTAGAAGAAGATATAATTTTTACTATGCGATGCAAATGAAAGCGTATAAACATTATCATAATATATGAAACTGTAAAAATAACTATCCGTTCTTATTGTTTTATAGGTATAAAACTAATCAAATACTGTTCCAGCGATATCTTTGACTGTTTTTTACATAATCAATATATATATATATATAACGTTTAGGCCTTCAATCGTTTTTGTTGTGTTTAGTCTACGGAGGTTAATGTAATTTCAACCATTAGAAACTTATATTTATACACACTATTCCTATTTCCAATGTATTGCAATTCTGCGTATTTCATATATAGTTACAATATTATTTTGAGGAACCATATGACGAAATTTAGCCACATTTATTCATGTTTATGATCTTCCTACGCACAGTTTCTGATACAGCATCTTTCTATATATCTATTAATTCCGAAGAGGAACGAGAAAATAATAATACTACAATTGATGTCCGGGAGAAATGATTTTGATCGAAAATTTAAGTTTTTTATCTATCTCAAACTTATACTAACTAAAAACATTTCAAAAGCGAACCACACGAATTCACGTATGTCGTTATATATGTTTAATCTAATATTTGAAGATATTTCAAAGCCTCTTTTTTCAATGACAGTAATGAATTTCACAGAAACGCGATATTCATAAAATGAATATTTTGGTTTAAAATTGTCAAGATGATATTTAGGAGATTGTGGTGGTTTCTTCAAAATAGCATAGGAATCTCTCGTATTCATATAAAGATGTGATTTAAAAGTATACATTATTATTAATACGAAACAATGCCCCTGGTTACTTTTACTTTTTTTTAAATAAAAAAGTGTGCTAGTATATCTATATATAGATCTATGGAACACTTACCAATGGCTCAGTCGTAAGATCAAATAATTTTGGTCCAAGTATCGCTGGAGCAAAGAAGCGTAAAAATATAAACCCAGACACGACGGAATATCGCACTTCTTTGTTATGTGGAAAATATTTGGCCGCACACTCTCTGAGATCATGGAAAATTTGGCATAAAACCGGGGGACAGCGTACTGCACTATTTATTATAGCCTCAAATACTCGTTCTACATACTCTTGCAAATGGATTAAGTTATTCTCAACCATTGATTTATCTTTGACGCGCATTGGATCGATTTCACATGGTTTCTTTTCAGCTAAAATAGCATCAACAATCGGACGTAGTGTGCTATGCAGGTAATGTAATCCTGACAGTCTCATAGCTTCGTCCATCATTTTTGAGACAAGTGTATTGCCACGAAAAATTGTGGTTGGGTCCGTTAGTTTGGAGATTTCATGATCAGCGAGCGCCTTGATAATAGGTGAAATTAGATTTTCATGGGTGAATAAGCGAACTAGAGGCTGTGCGATTTCTGTTTTGTTTGACACAAGTTCACCGAGAATGTAGACCGGTGACAGAGTTATTTGTTGATCTAAACTTTGGATAAGTAAATTCAATAGATTGTCATAAGTTGCAAGAGGAAAAACATGGTCAGCTGTATAGACCAACTTTAGACGCAAAGAGCCAAGTGAATTGTCGCTGCTAAGTCTTGTGCCTGGTGGGGTAGCGCAGGAACGTGTAGGTCTAGCAAGTGTGGCCCGTGGTTGAAAGTAGTACCACGCATCTTGTTTTATTGCATTTTGTTGCTGCTTCCCATGCATTGGAATTTTAATTTCGCCTAAAAACACGTCTTCGCCCATTCCAACGTCATGCCAAGCGGTAATACTCAGTTCGAACAAATCGGCACCGTCCAATGGGGCCACAGTATACACATTATTACCCATCATAGATTTACTGTCACAATCGATGCTTAAATCAAAATTCATCGTTTCATCAAACTTTGGATTTATCGTTTTTTTCCGAGATTTCGATCGTTTGACAATTTTTCTCTTATTTGCATAAATTGCTGTGACCACTACGTATGGATCACAATTGCCATTTTTTTTAGCTAATTCCAAACACTCCACTACACGTAAAGTAACACGACTTTTTACACCATTTCGAAATGGCCCTAATGTGTCCAGTGTACTCGAGCTAGGTTTTTTGCTCTGTGAACCAAATAAACTAATATCAGTATTTCCGAAAAGGCTTCTTGTTTTACTTAGTGTACTACTGCATCCACTATTTCCACCTGATTGGTTTCGAACAGATGTCACACACGATACGGTTGTGCATGTTGTTGTTGTTTTAATATTTTCATTGCATTCTTGAGAATTTCCATCCGTTGTTTTATTCTCTTTAAACTCACTACTATTTTCATTTTTATTGAATACTGATGATGATGTAGATCCGGCACCAGCCAAGTCATTTAAATTATTTATCGAATTTACCGTTGTTTTTGCATTTAGTGAAAATGAGTCATCAAAATCGGATCTACGTTTCAGATTGCCAATTCCTTCATCAATTGACAGTAAGATATGTGCCATACCCTGCACTTCTGAGTCCGCATCGACGTGTTGCAAGGCAAACCAGTGGTCCTTGTGATTGTACGAATAAAGTTCTTCTCGTTTTATTGCAATTTTACCAATAGCTTTGTCCTGTTTCAAGTGTTTGTCTCGATCCCATATATATACTGCCAAATATCGAAATTTTCGTGGTATTTCAAATTGATATTCTTCACCGAAAAATGGATTTAACGTTCTTTCAATTGTTGGAGTTCGTGTAATTTCTTCTTGGTCCAGGGCGACTGTGCAATAAACGTCGCGATAAGCGGCACTCGAGCCATTTGTGCAGTTGTTTCGGCCTTGTAAATTCTTGGCTTCGCCTGAAAGAGAATAGGGAATATTTTATTTTTTGTTTTTGTTCATCATTATTTAATAATTAATATTGAAAGTAAAAGAAGTACTATTTGGTTAAAAAAGTTTAAGAAAATTCTTAATATGTTTTGCTCTAGAACAAATAAACAATTTATGACAAAAAACATCAAATCAATCATTTTTATTATCCATTTTTCATTTTGCGTATTTAACGAAGAGTGTATGTCGACGGAGAAATTCATTCATAAAAGCACAGATAAGAGACACCGTATACAAACTATGAAAACTTAAACAGACTGTGGGTGTGGGTTTTTGTGAATGATACAATCATGCTCCGAATTGATATTAATTTCTTTTTAGAAAACCGGAATAATATCTGTGAAGGATTAACTACATTTCCCCTACACTGGTATGTTGGTCGTCCAAAATGACAGAAATCCTAAGGGAATGCTTTCAGCTGTCGTTTAAATACAACATTATAACAACAACAAACTATTGTGTAAACACAGAACGTGATATCAAGTCGATGTGGAGCCAAAAACACAGTTCAATGTTTCAAAATACTGCGCATTCGCACGAAGCATTCACATGTGTGAATGTGCAGATGGATTTTTCATTCATTAGATTTCGGGCCATTAATAAATTCACATATACATATACGCTGGTGTATTTCTTTTTTTTCTGTTTTGAGGTCGGAATGGATTTTCGTTGCTACTGGTTTCATTACACTTATATGTGGGAAAATAAGATATGTATATAGTGTACATGATAGCACCATTACATTTAAAATATACAACGACCTGATGCGCCATTGTATTCAACACTTTTATTCTGCACGCGTTTTAAAGATACATTCGATTAAAAAAAACATTCTTTTTAACTTGAAACATTTATATAAATCCATTATGATGCTTTGACATCGAATTGCATATAAAAGAGTTCAATGGAACCATGTTTCCCTCCCTAAAAGTATACATATATGTATCATTCATAATACAGTATTATTATAATTATTGAATAATTTTTGCCACTAGATTTGTCCCGTAGGAATTCACTTCGCAATGTACTATAAGATAAAATTCTATTAGAAAGAATTGTTATTGTGTTTTAAAGAAAAAATATTGCCATAACAGCGTATGGCAAAAAAGCAAAGTCTTCTGAATCTGTTTTATTAGAAAAACGCGGTTGAAGTCATCGCATCAAATTATATGTTGTTTAAGTTTTATTCAACCAATAGACGAATTTAGTTTAGGTTTTCTGTTGTTGAAACTAAAGAAGTGAAGGTATTTCAGATAAGGCGCACGGCTTTCCAAAAACCTCGTAAAAACGAATAAGTTTCCCAAAACCAACATGAATCCAAATGAAATTGTATAAATAAAAATTTGGAAATCGATATCACTTGTTTATGTGATAATTTTTGGGATAATACAACAAAAGATAGGGCCGCATCGAATTTATTGCCATCGGTTTGATGCATATAAACACAATTTCACTTTTTTTGTATACGGCCCACAGTACAAAAACAAATCATTTTCCTGTTCACACAGATTCGATGCTTCACTTTGTGGTATGTTTTTTTTCCTTTCTCTGTGAAAGCAACGCCAATGATGTTTTACAATTCAAACAGAAATTCACATATTTTTCAATTGAAACCGAGTATTTTCAAAACACAAAAAATTATTTATTTCAACAGTTGTGTTGATTGTGAAATCGAACATTTTATACTTGAATTTATTGATTTATTATTAATAAACCTACCAAGTTTTACTTTTAATTGTTCTTCCACACGAACTTTGCGTGTATCATCCGCCATATTGAATCCATCACTAGTAGACTACCTTTTTTAATTCTGGCTTCTAAGCGAAATATTTTGGATTTCTTTTGAGGTTGTTGATATGCTTGTATTTGTGTGAGACGCTGGTGGGCAATGCGGCTCTCGTACCGTACAAAGACCGTTCAATGTATGGGTAATTTGTGAATGACTACCAATACAATAATAATATATATGTGTATGTTTGAACTTGCGTGCGGTCGCCATGCGGCGATTTCGACGGAGGTTGCACACGATACGATGCGATGATCCGTTGGATATGGTGTCTCTTTTAAAATAATGAAACATGCTGGAATATTTTAATGAAAATTTATTTGGACGTATTCTGAAATAACTTTATTATCATCACTTTTTTAGATATCAAGTAAAAGTAATGTTATTTTAATAATGAAAGAATCAACTTTGAAGACCATTTACTTGATCGCCTTACCATAGTATTCAAGCTGTTTTCTGTGTATTGGCTGTGTTGCAAGACATCAACGTAAGCTCTTGCGGACAAACAACTACTTGAGAAATGCGCGCGGTTTTTTGTAGGAACAACGCGGAATAAATTACAAGTTTGATTTTTTTTGTTCGATTCGTAGGTAGCAAGAAAGCTGAATGGAAACTCACACATGTATATACTTGACTGTCTGTACGACATATTCTTCTACATGTGTGAAATACATGATGCAACAAACAATTTATATGATATATTTATGTCTATAAACGTGCTTATACTTGAAAGAAAAATTAACACACTTTCAAGTATTAATTTAAATCATTCTTTGATCCCGAGGAGGATTTCAACCCATTTATTAGCGATTACTTTGATTAAGAAAGAACCAAATCGAATATATATGTATATATTGAATATATAAATTTCTCCCCACATTATATAAAACTAAAAGAGAATGCAATGATAGTCTGTAATAAACGGATGCGATCAGTTGTCGTTTTTCATTTCCTGCTTGACTTCCTATTAGATGATTGAATGGGTAACGTACACAACAAACAAATCGCAGGAGAAATCGAATGATCTGATAAAATGGTTTGCCAAATGCAATAAAAAGAATATTCTCCTTAGAGACTTGGTACGACAAATATTTTATTTCATTTGTTTAGCAAAAATACGTCCATTCAAGTGTTTACTATCTAAATGTTTATAACAACTGTGATTTTTACACATTTATATCGTAAATTTAAATACATTGACTGTGGTATAGCCATACATTGAGTTGATGATTGTTATATTATATACCTATATAATAATTATATTATGTCCGTCCGTCTTAAAAATATATCCGTCCGTCCGTCCTAAGTCCCAAACGGACAAACTGAATAAAATTGTCCGTCCTTGAATTTGAAACAGACAGAACGAAACTAAATTGTCCGTCCTAAAATCCCAAATGGACGGACAAAATGAAATTTTCCGTCCTGGAATCCGAAACGGACAGGACAGAAACGGACAGGACAGGACAAAACTGAATTTTCCGTCCTTAAACCCCAAACGGACGGACAGAATGAAATTTTCCGTCCAAAAAAAAAAATCGCAAAAGGACGGACGGACAAAAGCCGTCCTATTCCTTTAGTTCTAAGCATATTATCATTATTATTATTATTTATTGACACCGCCAAATACTGGCTGAATAATAGGTAACATAGTGATGTAATACATAGGTTCTTGTATAGGGTCTTGTTTTGTTTTAGGTTTATGATTAGTATAGTTATTCTCGTTGTTGCACGTAATGACTTAGGTTTAAAATGTGAGTAGGTGAAAATAGGTAAAATATTAAGAACATAGGTAATAAATAGATTTGACTTGCATACAAATAAAATAATATACATAACATTTAAAATGACACAAATCAATAATAATAAATAAATAAAGAATATAATTTCAATTGCTCAATGTACTGACTAGTAGCTTAAAATTTGGATAAAGTCGGTTTCTTATCTCGTCAAAAGTTATCTGTCAGGTGATTTGAGACTGGCCCAAGTACCAAAAGTTGAGTTGGGTAGGTTTTGTAACTTCTGTTTGAATTGATGAAGTGGAAGCGATGGATCTATGAATAGCGCTGCATAGTTAAACATCCGGCATGCATTATTGAATGGGGACAGCAATGAATGGTCTGTCCTAAATGTTCCAATGCGAATAAATTCAGGATTGCGTAGAGTTCTAACACCAGAATTTAATTTGATTTGTGACACACATATGGACACATCATTAGCCGCAACTTACTTTTTTCATGACAGAAATGCATAAATATGCCAAAAAACCTTCATAACTCATCCACCAAACCGGTTGATATGCTCAAAATTTGTATTTGGGGAGGTTTTAGGATGCCCTATCGAACGCAGCATTTGAAATTTGTGAATTGATAGTATGGAATATTCATGGGTGAAACGAACAAGGGGGAAAGTACTAGATTTGTATAATTCAAATAATGCAATCTAGTACAAAAATAATCCCAAAAAATCCTTCGGAATTCTCAATAGTGCCCAATAATGTTCAATAATGCTATTAACCTTCTGACTGTGTTTGAGTAAATAGATCATGGACTGTGTTTGGTGACATTTTTGTCACCTACGTATATAAAAGAAAAATAATTTTTTTTCAATATTTTGCTTTGAATTTATATGATATCACAGTGCAACATTTTTTCGGTCATCGATGCGGGTATAAGTTTTGAGTATCGCTGCTGAAAGTACTTACCAAAACTAGAAAT